GGTTTAATTCCTGAAGTCTCTCCTCGTAGCTAATACCCCTCAGCTCGGGTACTAGTCTGATGGCAAACCTTTGAACCTTTTCTAATTTAGTCTTATGTTTGACTAGATTTGGACTCCATGCTGGAGCTGCATACTCTAGGATTGGTCTGACATATGTGGTATACAAAGTTCTGAATTATTCCTTACACAAGTTTTTAAAGGCCGTTCTTAAGTTGGCCAACCTGGCACATGCCGGTGATGTTATAATCTTGATATGGGCTTCGGGGAACAGGTCTGGCGTTGACTATTTGTATTAGGAAAACTAAAGATGTTTTGGAAAATCACTTCCTACAGATCCTTTGTTATTTGCTAATGTGTCAGAAAAGTGTCATAGAATGATTGTATCTGAAAAGGTGAAAGGTCTCAACCCATTTCAAAATGTGTAATATTCGTTGAAAAAAATCTCCCTTTCTATTTAGGCTGCAGTACTGAAACTTGGAACAATTGCAGCCCTTTCTTACACAGCTAGTCAGAAAATATTGGTTGACATTGAACAACTTTCTAGGAACTATCCTCTTGCCCCCTTAAACTCTAACACGTTCGACGGTTCCTTCAGTTTGTCCAGGTCTTCTTGAAGCCTCAAACAGTCTTCCCGTCTTAATCCTTCTCGTAATTTTGACATCGTCAGCAAAAATTGAGAGGAATGAGTCTATACCCTTTGAGTATACGTATCATATACGTATATTATAAATTACGATAATTTACGATCGTATATTACGATAATTTACGTATATTAGAAACAGGATAGGTCCAAGTACAGAGCCCTGTGGGACTCCCCTAGTGACTTCACGCCAATCTGAGGTCTCGCCCCTCACTGTAACTCTCTGCTTCCTATTGCTTAGGTACTCCCTTATCCACTGGAGCACCCTACCAGTTATTCCTGCCTGTTTATCCATCTTATGTACCAGCCTCTTATGGGGTACTGTGTCTAAGGCTTTCCGACAGTCCAAGAAAATTCGGTCCGCCCACTGATCAGACTGGTCAGTTCTCGTTTTTGCTTAATCTTTGTCACCTGATCGTAGAATTTTATTAAGCCTGTAAGGCAAGATTTACCTTCCCTGAACCCATGTTGATGGGTTGTTACGAAAGTCCTTTCTCTCCAGATGTGCTACTAGGTTTTTTTCTCACGATCTTCTCCCATCATCTTGCAAAGTATACAAGTTAAGGACACTGGCCTGTAGTTCAGTACCGCTTGCCTGTCACCCTCTTTGTATAATGGGACTACATTAGCCGTCTTCCATATTTCTGGTAGGCCCCCGTCACCAGTGACCTACTGTACACTATGGAGAGTGCCACACAGTGTTTCTGCACACTCTTTCTATACCCATGGTGAAATTCCGTCTGGATCAACAGTCTGTCTCACGTCCAAATACAATAGGTGTTTCTTGACCCCTTCTTTTGTAATTTAGAACCCTTCCATAGCCGCCTGGTTTACTGCCACCTCTCGTAGCGCAGTGACTTGACCTTGTTCTGTTGCGAAGGCCTCCTGGAACCTCTTGTTGAGTTCTTCACACACCTCTTTGTCATTCTCTGTATACCTGTCCTCACTCGTTCTAAGTTTCATCACCTGTTCTTTCACTGTTGCTTTCTCCTGATGTGACTGTTGAGTAGCTTTGGTTCGGTCTTGGCTTTATTTGCTATATCATTTTCAAACTTTTTCTCAGCTTCTCTTCTCACACACTAACGTACTCATTCCTGGTCCTCTGGTATCTCTTCCTACTTTCTGGTGTTCTGTTATTCCGGAAGTTCCTCCACTCCCTTTTGTTCAGCTTCTTTGCTTCCATACATGTCCTTTAAACTATGGATTCTTCTTTTGCTTCTCGGCGTTTTCCTTTGGGCCGGGGTAAACCTGTTTACTGCCTCCAGATACTTTTGGGTGTCACTGTCCATGTCGTGTACAGAATTAGCTCTGTGGTCTGTGTCCCATGGTATATGCCATAGGAAACTTCTCATCTCCTCATAATTCCCCTTTCGGTACACCAGCTCTTTGTTTCCTAGTTCTTCTTTGGGGGAGATAAATCCCAGATCTTCCAGGTACTCAAAGATCAATACACTGTGATCACTCATTCCCAAGAGTGCTTCCATCTAAACCTCCCTTATATCCCACTCATTGAGGGTAAATATCAGATCAAGCATAGCTTGTGTGTGTGTGTGTGTGTGTGTGTGTGTGTGTGTGTGTGTGTGTGTGTGTGTACTTACCTAGTTGTGCTTGCGGGGGTTGAGCTCTGGCTCTTTGGTCCTGCCTCTCAACTGTCAATCAACTAATGTACAGCTTCCTGAGCCTACTGAGCTCTATCATATCTACTCTTGAAGCCGTGTATGGAGTCAACCTCCACCAAGAGGTGTGTGTGTGTGTATTGGTTCGTGTGTTTGGCTATCAGCTCTGTTTATGTATTTGAAAGTGCATTAATTATTAGGTTCGTGAGTGTATGCGTATGTGTGACTATTAGCATCGTGAGTGTATGCGTGAGCAAGGAGAGTTGTGGCAAATCGGAGCCGGTTTGCTTTTCTCGAGGGCTCCGATTTGACATAGGTTTGTTAGTTACATCGGCCACGCAACACCCCTAGGTCTATGGCGTAAGGATGTTTTCATTTTTTTTCGATGGCCGCCACTAGCTTAGCGGGCATTTTTTTTTTCATTCCTATATCGCCCGCTCACTAACGTCATATAAAATTTTCCAAAAGGGGTTTAAAAGGTTCCCATCTGGCCCCTATGATTTTTTTTTCAGGAGATTAATAGGCCTCCTCCCGTCATCCCTAAATGCAGTTACCTCGGCAGCCTGCACAGGCACAGCTAATCCCAAAATATTCAAATGACATCGTTTCCCACCCATCGTTCATCTTCCCACGATAAGCCCGTTTTCTGTGATAGCATAATGTCTGTTTTAAAAGCTCTTTTGTATTTATTCCAATTTTTTATATTTACCCAAGGTGATTAAAGGGCTGCCTTCCATCATCCCTAATGGGCAATGACGTTATCCAGCAGCCGTCCCTAAATAAGTTCGTTTTCTCTGATAGAGCATTTAATCCCATTCTTTCATTATTTGATATTAAATCCCATTTTCAAAGATTATATATGGTCAAAGATCGCATATTAAACATAAATGAAATTGCAGAAGGCCTTTTGGAGGGACCATACACTATCTCCTACTTACCTCCAGCCCTTGTTGAACCAAACACCATCTGTCACTATGAGGTAAACTGCAGGAGGACTATGAATAATCTATGCAAGGGAAACAGCACAATGTTCACTGGTAGTTACCCCATGGCTTACCCAATATCTATTATAAACCCTCATTATTTATCCACGTTTATCCACTTGCACCCTTCAATATAAACCCTTAATATGCTCATTCATCTGCTGGTACACCATAATTTTTGCCTATTTGCTCCAATTGTATTTAGTGACTAGTAAAGACTATTTAAACTGCGAGAAAGATTGTTTGTGCCCTCAACTAAAGATTGTTTTATCGTACCTAATATTTATAGCCTAGGATGGTTTATCGAGAAAATGGCTATCGAGAAACGCTACAATGGCGGTGCGTGACGTCACAGATATAGCTTAATTAAACCAGTCATTAGCACTGAGGTGTGAACTTACACAGCAGCTTGTCTTAAGGGGTAGGTGACGTCACAGGTTGATGCCTTGTGCCCACTCACATCTTGGATTACTGAACCCTTGGTGATATATTCAATTCATTGACCCGATCTTTCCATCCTAACCTGACCAATAACAATCAAACAAAAGCAAACAAACGCACAAACGCACAAAGTAGTAGTAGTAGTAGTAGTAGAAACAGCTGATTGACAGTTGAGAGGCGGCCCGAAAGAGCAGAGCTCAACCCCCGCAAGCACAACTAGGTGAACACAACTACGTGAACACTTAAGGGGACTTGGAACTGTTACTCATATCAGTGAAATCTCCAGAGCTAATATATTTATTAATTATTCTTCAAATGGTAAGACTTTTCATCCCAAACCCAATCTCATCAAGGGTTTAACAATATACATTTCGTTATATTTTTTAAAATTTTATTAGTATTCATAGTTTACATTCTAGCTTTTAACCAAAATCCAATAGGGAAGCATAATATTTCAGATGGTAGACGTAGTAATGAGAGGACGTGGAGCATTACAGAGGTGATCTTCAGCAGTTGCTCAACATTTTGATATTTAATAATTCCTACACATCATCATCATTGATGTAACACTGTAGCTAAATGGTACACTACATTCCACAAGAGGGATAACGCACATCTGGCAACTTTGCCTACTAGTACCTGTGTTCATAGGTTCCACGCCCCGGGTGGTGTTCCACGCCCCGGGTGGTGTTCCACGCCCCGGGTGGTGTTCCACGCCCCGGGTGGTGTTCCACGCCCCGGGTGGGGTTCCTCGCCCCGGGTGGTGTTCCACGCCCCGGGTGGTGTTCCACGCCCCGGGTGGTGTTCCACGCCCCGGGTGGTGTTCCACGCCCCGGGTGGGGTTCCTCGCCCCGGGTAGTGTTCCACGCCCCGGGTGGTGTTCCACGCCCCGGGTGGTGTTCCACGCCCCGGGTGGGGTTCCTCGCCCCGGGTAGTGTTCCACGCCCCGGGTGGTGTTCCACGCCCCGGGTGGTGTTCCACGCCCCGGGTGGGGTTCCTCGCCCCGGGTAGTGTTCCACGCCCCGGGTGGTGTTCCACGCCCCGGGTGGTGTTCCACGCCCCGGGTGGGGTTCCTCGCCCCGGGTGGTGTTCCACGCCCCGGGTGGTGTTCCACGCCCCGGGTGGTGTTCCACGCCCCGGGTGGGGTTCCTCGCCCCGGGTAGTGTTCCACGCCCCGGGTGGTGTTCCACGCCCCGGGTGGTGTTCCACGCCCCGGGTAGGGTTCCTCGCCCCGGGTGGTGTTCCACGCCCCGGGTGGTGTTCCACGCCCCGGGTGGTGTTCCACGCCGTATATAACAAAGGTCCGTGTTCTCTCCCCAGACTACCGCAAGTGTTTCTACGGGGAGTTCCGGTGCGCCAACGGCGAGTGTGTCCGCCCCGGGCTGGTCTGTGACGGACACAAGGACTGCATTGATGGCACTGACGAGACCCAGTGCCAGCCAGGTGAGTAGCTGCTGGTCTGGTCGGTGGTGGGGGTCTGGTCAATGGGTGGGGTCTGGTCAGTGGTGGGGTCTGGTCAGTGGTGGGGTCTGGTCAGTGGTGGGGTCTGGTCAGTGGGAGGGGTGTTGGTCAGTGGTGGGGTCTGGTCAGTGGTGGGGTCTGGTCAGTGGTGGGGTCTGGTCAACAGGTGGTGCTTGATCAGTGGGAGGGGTCACTGGATACACTCCCAACCCCTGACTCAGACCTCCCAAACCTCCACACTAAGAACACAGTGTACCGCCAATATTACTGCAGTAAGTGTGGCACGGTCATACAACCGTACACCACGTAACCTCTCACGACGGTGAAATTTTCACAGATGTTTGTGTTAAACAGCATATTGCTTCAACTGCAACTCTCACTCATGTCTACGAACTCTGCTGTTTACAAAGGCGAATAGAATGATCTGTCTCTCAGCCATAACAAAATCTCTCACAAATTGTCTGATTAAAGTCATTTATGGCAAAGATAAATTGTTTTGCTCAATTAAAAAGTGAATTTGATTATCCTTCAACATAAAAAATGAATTTAGAAAAAAATAGTTTTTGAAACCGAGTAGAGAAATAAAAATATGACCTGTGCATAAATAAAACTTCAAAAAATGTATCACCAAAAATGCAGTCCCAAAGATTTTCAACAATATTACTTCGGACGTAAATACATTTGTTCAAGAAATCTGATTTTATTTTAAGTTTTCGTAGAGAACCATACAATAGCAACACTCCATTATTGCCAATATTACGAGTGCTGACGTATACACCAAGCGAAAAAACTGCAACATCAAGATTAGACCAGTTTCTCAGATCGATAATTCCGGAACTGATCATTCCTGTATTCCTCGTGTTTGTCGTCTCCGGAGGAGGAAGTTGGGAAGAGGAACTATCCTTTGTTCATTTTACACAAATTAGAGCAATGAACGTTTTGATTGGCTGAACTTTCAGCTAATTGCTTTCGTAACGGGTGTTAAATTTTATTGGAATAATTATTATTAAATTATCCATTTTTGAACAATTTAATTAAACTTAAGAAAACAAACAGTTTATCATCTATAATATTCGGTGTGCAGTTTGATGTTTACAGGTGATCAAAAAGGCATTTATTGATAGCAGAAAATATTGTGAAAGTCAAATTATATATATATATATATATATATATATATATATATATATATATATATATATATATATATATATATATATATATAAATTTTTTGTATGTTTTGTTATATTTTATTGCAATGCTACAGTTTACAGAGAACACACACACACACACATATATAACAATTAAACAATCAGCGTTCGAAGACCTCGTCCAGCTCCTCGGAGGTTGGGTGCGTACCCAGGATACAGCTCGCATTTCCCCTCTGAACTGCGACACTGAGGCGCTGGAACTGGAAACTGGCTGCTCGTGGGTCTCTAGTTTTCCCACTGAGTTCCTCACCAACCTCCTTTAAAAACTTGAGTGCACATTTACCCCAGGCGCCCAGAGTCTCAGAGCCTATCTGCACGAACCTGTAACAACGTTCTTGGTCTCTGTACTTGTGGATTTTCTGGGTCTCCCTGAAGGTGGCTGCCCCACCACCCTCCGCTGAGCTGTAACGTAAATAGGTATCCGCCAATGTAGATGCACAGGTGTAATCCCATACGACCTGTTTACCTTCCGTCCATGGCTGCAGGGTGACTCCATCTGGGCGTTTTTGTCTGTTGTCAGGTCTGCACAACTGGGGTTCCCTTTGTGCTGGACACCCAGCTGTAGCCAAACTTCTCTTGATGATGTCATTGACTGCTTCGTGTCTGGCAATCTTTCCCTATGTCTTACGACAGATGAGGCCATGGCTGCCGTATTGGTCTGCCCGTGCAAGGCCGCGAACACACCGGTGTTCGGTGGAGATAGGGGCGGCAAGGCGCAGAACAACACCAATACTTAGGGCCCGATGGTCCAGGCGGGTGCCCAAGGCGGAATTAGGGACTGCCAACAGGAAGTCCCCAGCATGGGGGGCTTGCACAGCTAGGAGACGTGCTCTGTCCTTCCCAGAAGCTGCCTCCAACAATGCTTTGGCGATGTTCTCCACTCTGGGGCTATCCCATTTGGCCTGTTTACTGTCGTTTGGAAAAGTTGGTCGGGTGTGTGAATTGGCAAGAGTGTCCCACTGACCAGCTCCTTCCACAAATTTGGGATCACAAATCACAATGGAGTTCCTTAGGTATTCTGGTAGTATTTCATTCACTAATTCACTTGTAGCACTGGTCGAGGATAAGAATTCCGGCAATGTTAACTGTGTCGCCTTGCGAATACCTATACCCCCGAGTCTAACTGGGAGCGTTGCTTGGTCCCACTGGTCATCTTGCAGGGAGAGGTTTAACACTTTCATAGTTATTGTCTTTAGGAGTGAGTCGCATTCCGTTAATTTTGGGCTGTCAAAGGAAGGAGCACAGCTGAGGAAATAGTTAAGTCTGGGCAAGGCCAGGCACCTTGTAAGAAGGTACAGAGCATCGTAAATATATATATATATATATATATATATATATATATATATATATATATATATATATATATATATATATATATATATATATATATGTATATATATATATATATATATGTCGTACCTAGTAGCCAGAACGCACTTCTCAGCCTACTATGCAAGGCCCAATTTGCCTAATAAGCCAAGTTTTCATGAATTAATTGTTTTTCGACTACCTAACCAACCTAACCTAACCTAACTTTTTTGGCTACCTAACCTAACCTATAAAGATAGGTTAGGTTAGGTTAGGTTAGGTAGGGTTGGTTAGGTTCGGTCATATATCTACGTTAATTTTAACTCCAAAAAAAAAAATGACCTCATACATAATGAAATGGGTAGCTTTATCATTTTATAAGAAAAAAAATTGAGAAAATATATTAACTCAGGAAAACTTGGCTTATTAGGCAAATCGGGCCTTGCATAGTAGGCCGAATACGACGTTCTGGCTACTAGGTACAACATATATATACAATCATAATAATAATAATAATAATAATAATAATAATAATAATAATAATAATATGCGAACAAGCCTGAGTGGTCCCCACGCATATATGCAGTGCCTCCGGAAATTTTGGTAGCAGTCTTTCTTGTAAACCTATGTTGTTGAATATGACCGAAAGTGTAAGATTAATGATTCTAACACGAATCTTCTCAATATTTCTTATGTTTTTTTTTCCACTGTCGGGGGAAATTGATATACTAACTCTCCAAAGTTCCTTTTCTCGTTTTTTTTTTATTTATGGTCTGACGCCTAAAAGCGTTTCACAAGGACTTCTTACATTTTCAAAGACAGGTTTATACATTTCATTTCACGCTTATATTCGTTTTGGGTGAGGTGACAGAACACGAATGAATGGTATTTATTGGATATGAGAACATAAGAATAAAAGTAACTACAGAAGGCCTATTGGCCCATATTTTCTCGTTGCTTTTATATTGGTTCAGGATCTTAAAGTGGGTAGAATATAGTTGTTAATTGGCTGTTGATTGCTGGTATTGACTTTTTGATATGTAGGGCCTCGTTGATGTCGAGTCTCCTGCTGTCGCTGTATCTATCGAAGATTTCTGTGTTGCTTGTGAAGATTTCTCTGGTGATGATCTGGTTGTGAGAGGCGATTATATGTTCCTTGATGGAGCCCTGTTGATTGTGCATTGTTAATCAGCTAGAAAGAGACGTTGTTGTCTTGCCTATATACTGAGATCTTTGGGGCTTACAGTTCCCAAATGGGCATGTGACCTCAATCAAGCCTAATATGTATTGCGTATATAACTATCCAGAGACTTATAATACTCCTGTGGGAGTCTAATGATGTGTGTTCATACTGTTGGAATAAAATGCAACGGTATAGTCAGGGCACCACCAGGAGTTTGGTATATGGTTGGTATCATAACTGGGAGGGAACCCGGTTGCTCCTGGGTCTCTCCTTCCTTCTTCCCCTCCCTCCCCCCCCTCCTCTCTCTCTTCTCTCTTGCTCTTTCTCTCGCTGTCTCTCTCTCGCTGTCTCACTCGTTGTCTCTCTCGCTCTCTCGCTCTCTCTCTCTCTCTCGCTCTCTCTCTCTCTCTCGCTCTCTCTCTCTCTCGCTCTCTTTCACTCTCTCTCGCTCTCTCTCTTTCACTCTCTCTCGCTCTCTCTCTCTCTCGCTCTCTTTCACTCTCTCTCGCTCTCTCTCTTTCACTCTCTCTCGCTCTCTCTCTCACTCTCTCTCTCACTCGCTTTCTCTCTCTCTCTCTCTCTCTCTCTCTCTCTCTCTCTCTCTCTCTCTCTCTCTCTCTCTCTCTCTCTCTCTCTCGCTCGCTCTCGCGCTCTTTCTCTTTCCTTTTTAATTAAATGTTTTTCCTTGGGCGCGCTAAATAGAAGTCTAGGGACACTGCCAGCCACGTTTCACTAATGACGTGGATGTGAGGTCTCGACAGGACCCGACCCCTCTCAATAGCAGGTCGACCCGGACCGACTTGCAGGCATACCGTGCAAAGTTGGTGAGACTAGCAGGAAGCGTCTGGCCTCCGGTCTTGGACACAGACATTCTTTGTTATAGATGAAGGGAGAAATATTTGAGACACGTGAGAAGAGACAGACTCCGGGTGCAGAAATGTTACCCATGTTAAATCCTTTAGGTGTCAAATCCCAGATGTTTAATTATATTGATTTAAAATATTCCTGATGTCTGGTCAATAGGTCACAACATTATTAACCTTCTCTTGGATAATGGGACTTAAGATCAACACTAAGACCCCTTCATACTAGGACAATCAGAGGCAGCATCAACCTTCTAATATATATTGATGTCTCCTAAATTATCCGATAACTGCCTGTTTGTGCGAGGGCATCTGAGTAGATTATACCAATTGGGTAAATCAAGCAGGAGATATAGGCACGGATTACACTAATTAATCACTAAATCCTACAGTTGAATCAAGGAGATACAAGTTGAATAG